ACAGGTTGAGCGCTGGCTGCCCCCATCCCCGTGTGTCATAAAGACCCACTTGCACGCAGCCAAAAGGCAAAGAGGTAAAGAAAAGGTGGAGGAAACCAAACCTCACAGAAGAAGGAAGCCTATTAAACAGACGAAGCAAGTGACACATCCCACAGATAATCCAATTACCATCCCACAGAACATATTTTTCTTTTTTTCTTTTTTCTTTTTTCTCAGGTTTCCTTTTTGTGTTTTTCCTTCCTTGGTTTCTTTTTTTATTTATTTATTGTTTATCTTTTACTGGGTTTCTTTTTTTATCTGTTTCTTCTACACTTCATCTGTCACCCCCTCGGCAGATAGGACAACTACGGTGAGGATGACGGGGATGTTCACAGGGATACCCAAGGAGAGTTGCGTTAGTACAGCATTCAGCCGGACAGCTAGCACGAACCATCCCATCGAAACAATCCCGACATAGGACATGTCGCCCACATGTCAAGAAAACAGCAGGACGTTCGTCACAGTGCGGCATCATGCAGTTCTGATAGCGTCCTTGGGAACAGAAAGGACAACGTACATCTGGGTGATAGGGATGTGCACAATGAGGAAATGTTAGACACCCTTCCGCACATACGGCAGCAGTCGCAATGGATTGATGATGGTGCTGACACAGATAATGCACTCCACAACCAAGACGCACCACGCCTCTATCCCGACAAATGTCGCACGAGAGACGCTCAACAATCCAGAACAGCGTATGATTCGACAAACCTCACAATAATTCATTTATGTTGACAATAACCTGAATCACCGTCCCACCATCCCACAGTTCCCACTGGGCAGCTGCACGAATGAGTGCCATATAGTGCCCGGGTTTGTGCAAAATGCATGCAGAAATATGAGGACGGGCATTAAGGTCCTCGCCTGGCGTCCCATAATGCATGAGAAGGTGGCGACCGTGAAATGCTACATTTATAGTAAAGCCTCCTGATGAGGTAGAGTATAATTACTATCCTCAGGAGGTAGACCATTACGGTCATACAACAACTCATTTTCAACAGCGTCAAGCTGATAAGCAATTGTAAGAAATTGAGATACAGTATAACCTTGACGCTGATAAGCTTGCAGACAAACATTCGTGGCTGTCAGGCCACAAATGTTTGGTAGATCTGCTCGCAAATCCGAATTGGTCACCACTGGAAGGCCCGGTCTGATTTGGCGCGGTCCGCGTTTAATTGACGAACGCCGTCGACGTACCAAAGCAAGTTGTCGGTCAGACAACGAACCAGGATCAATACGACGCCGAGAGGAAGGGGGACTAGGAGGTGGGGGGAATGAACGAGCCTGCCGCCGTCCTAATATATATTGTCACATTGTGAATCAGAGCGCAAAGGCGGAAAAAGGCAAAACAAGGAAAGGAAAAGAAGGAAGGAAAGCCCCACCTGTTCATCACCTCTTACGTACAAGGCCAGCCACGTGGATGACGGGTTGAGCGCTGGCTGGCCCCATCCCCGTGTGGCACAAGGACCCACTTGCATGCACGCAGCCAAAAGGCAAAGAGGTAAAGAAAAGGAGGAAGAAACCAAACCTGACAGGGACAGAAAGCCTATCAGTCAAACAAAGCAAATGATACATCCCACAGATAATCCAATTGCCACAAAGCAAATAACACATCCCACAGATCAACATATTTGTTCTTTTTCCTTGTTTTCTTACTTTCTTTTTTTCTTTTTTTTCTTTAACTGTTCCCACCTCGGCAGATAGGACAGCTACGGTGAGGATGATGTGGATGTTCACAAGGATACCCAAGGAGAGTTGCGCCAGCACAGCATTCAGCAGGACGGCTAGCACGAACCATGATCCCATCTAAACAGTCCTGACAGAGGACATCATGATGTTGTCCACATGTCAAAAGAACAGCAGGACGTTCATCACAGTGCGGCATCATGCAGTTCTGATAGCGTCCTCGCGCACAAAAGGGGGACAACGTATATCTGGGTGACAGGGATATGTACAACGAGGAAACGTTGGACACCCTTCATTCAGTACAGACGGCGGCAGTCGCAATAGATTGGTAATGGCTATGTGGCATAGATGGTGCATTCCACAGCCAAGGCGCACCGCGTCTGTCCGACAGGTGTCACACGAGTTGGGCTTATACCCACCCCTATACCCACCTATACAGCCCTATACCCACGCAGGTGGGTATACCTACTTCAGCCCTTTGAAAACTAGACATGAGACATGAGCTGTACTGCCCACCTCTCCGATGGGCTAGAGCTAAAAGGAGTTGTGTGCGTACCAACGAGGCTAGCTCAGTTGGTACACCCCCATGAGCTATCGAAATACAGACCTGACTTCGAATCCTGATGGACCTTGAAGAACGAAAAATTTTATTAGACCGAATTACACGACGGCCGGTCAGATTCACGCAGATAACCCGAGGTCATTGCCTTTCACAAAAAGGGGGGGGTAGGAGAGGTAAAGGACATAAAAAGTGGGGTGAAAAAGGACATAAAAAGGTGGGGGGGGGGGTAGCGACTTGTGTTTGGACAGAGATGGAGGGAGGCAGGAAGGAGTGACGGACGGATCGAGGGAAAAGAAGAAAGGAGGGAGGAGGGAGGAGGGAGGAGGGAGGAGGGAGGGAAGGACGGATGCACGGGAGGATGACCTGACGAATACATGGAGGGAGGGAGGGAGGGAGAAAAGAGCCTCGGTATAGGAGGACTTCTTTGGTGCTTTACCAAAGTGCTCACTTGTCCAGTTGTCCAGGACTACCTCCAAAACTGAGATAGCAGCTTAGGAGTGATCCGTACCGTCAATCAGCTAAGTGAATCTGCCCTATCTCCATCCGACCGACCGTATTTACTGGCATTCAGCGAGTATTCAGCGAGTATTCAGTAGTTACTCTGACGAGCGCATATCTCAGAGCAGCTGCTGCTACTCCTTCGAGGCAACGGCGCAGCGGGCCCGAGCTGCCGTCGACTACCTTCTTCCCCCGAATACAACGCACGGTCATTGTAGCTGTTGAGTCTAAATACAGCTATAATGACCGTGCGTTGTATTCGGAGGAAGAAGGTAATCTTATTACTTGACATGTTTGTCCTTTCTGGACAGGTGGCGTAACAGATGACATGGCTTCCTCTCATGGCAACCCGACCTGCAATCAAGAACTACCGTCGACTAAAATCTTATTTGACTTGTTCGTCCTTTCTGAAGCACCATAAAACCCGACTCTGCAATCAAGAGCGCTGACGTAACAGATGACATTGGCCAGGCTTGAGTTCAAAACTCTCTACAAGTGGAGTAAAAACAACGCGCTTCATCTTGCGTTGGGGCTCGAGAAAGCCACCAGAGGGAAGCTGCTACTATGATCAGGCGGGCGGGGTTTACTGACTCTGCCTGAACGTCAAAGAAGAACAGCGTTTGGCAGCAGCTGATTGTGATTGATTTCACACTACTGTGACTTGGTTCTCCTCTTAATTTTCTCCCTTCATTTGATAATAGTTTTGATCTTTTCAATTTCCATTCCTGCCCTGCTTGAGGGCGGCATTTTGGTGCCAATTGTGATATATCCACTCATCTGTTTCCAATGGAGTTGGATATCGACAGATGGTGCTTGATGCTGATTGTAGCAGGCCATCCATGGATGATGAAAGCGAATGGCTACCGTCTTGCCCCGAACACAACGCACCCTCATTTTCACTGCACCGGGCCGGAAAAATAGCTTGTATACAATTCGTTATCAGGGTGCGTTGTGTTCGGGGGAAGACGGTATAGGTCGGTTGCCTGCGAATGAAAGCCGCACTTAGGAGACGCAAATCCCGCGGACTATCTGGGAAGATCAGCCAACCCCACGTGCGTACACACGAACGCACACACACACACACACAACATTCATACACACACCCCTTTCCTCCCCCTCCCCCCCTCCTTTTATTCACATACTTCTTCCACAGGACCATTCCATTTCTTAAAATTGTCATCGCTGCAGACAGCTATGACCGACCTCGATACACGCATGCTGATTAAGGTAGGCAGGTCAAGAGGCAAAACTGATCTTCCTTTGGCCATTTAACTTCGACGTACCTGGCCGCAATTTCATACTCCTTTGGCCCATTTAACTTCGACGTACCTGGCCGCAATTTCAGACTCCTTCGGCCATTTAACTTCGACGTACCTGGCCGCAATTTCAGCGTTTTTTGAACCAAAACCATCAGGTCCTAGCGGGAACACGGTAAGCCCTGACGATTTCGGTTCAAAAAAAAAAAGAACCGACATTGCGGCCAGGTACGTCGAAGTTAAATGCCCAAGGGGGTAATAGAAGAGGGAGATGAGGAATAGGAGAGAGGGAGGTAAGAGGGGCTAGCGCATAAGGGAACATGATCGAGAATCACGCTGATGACGATTATAACAAGGAGAGTAACGAACAACACCTTAAGCAAGAAGGAGAGGAAGGAAGGGAGGGAGGAAGAAGGAGAGGAAGGAAGGGAGGGAGGAAAAAGGAGAGGAAGGAAGGGAGGGAGGAAGGTACAAGGAAGGAAGGAGGGAGGCACGGAGGGAGGAAGGTTGTAAGGACGGAGAAAAGAAGGGAGGATCGGACAAAGGGAGGAAACAAGGGACGCAAGATACGAGAAAAGCAAGGGAGGAGAGAGAGAAAAGAGACAAACGCACAAGAAAAAAGGAAGGGAGAGAGGGAGGTAGAAAAAGGAAGGGAGAGAGGGAGGTAGAAGGAAAAGGAAGGAAGGAAGGAAGGAGGGAGGCACGGAGGGAGGATCGCTGTGAGGCCCGAGAACACAAGGGAGGGGGGAACAAAAGGGGGTAAGAAAGGGGGTAAGAAAGGGGGAAAGAAAGGGGAAAACAAAAGGGGGTAAGAAAGGGACGAAAAAATATAGGGATACGAAACAGACGAGGTAAGGAGAGAAGGAGAAACACACAAGAAGAGAAGCGGAAAACAAAAAAAGGATAAAGGCGGGAAAAAAAGGAGGGAAGGAGCAGTTCTAGCTGGCAAACAAAGGTGATCGATTGTCTTTTCGGAAATTCCCTATACTTAAAAAAATCTGTTTACAAAATCAGTAAAACTGTAATTGAAAGCAGCTCTGGGTATTGCCTGCAGGGTGAAGGGGGAAAGAAGACGAAGAAGACACAGGAAAGAGAAGAGAACAGTGATTGCTTGCATTACTAAAGAAGACGATCCCGATGTTATAAAAAAAAAAAAAAAAAAAAGACGATCTCAATGTTGTTTTCGAAAAACCATCGCCTGAATTGACATTCCGTCCGTAAAGACGTGCATTGAAAACAGTAAGAGTACCACGTGCAATGTGAAGAAGGGGGGGGGGCGGGGGGGAGTAGCGTGCCAGGAGAGCCCAGCCGTTCGCCTACCTACTTGTCTTCCCATTGACTGACCAACTCCTTCCCTAACTTCGCTTCCTCGCTGGGCCAAAAATTCTTCATTATAGCATCATCATTATGCATGTATGATCATGATAATTCTCGATCGTTTCGGTTTCAATTCCCCCGTTCGATATTGTATTACAAAGGACGAGGGCACGGACTCGAATATGGAATTCCTCCTTACCATTGAATATGGAAACATCCAAAAGACAACGCCGACGGGTCCTCCTTTTCTCCCATCCATCAACTCTGGAGCAGTGGCCACAGCAACTGCTCACGACCGCTTAAGGTTCGCACTACCAGACGGCGCACTCTCGATTTTCACACCCTCGGAGCGCTAATTAATCCTCTCTCTCTCTCTCTCTCTCTCTCTCTCTCTCTCTCTCTCTCTCTCTCTCTCTCTCTCTCTCTCTCTCTCTCTCTCTCGCACTACCAGGCAGACACGCACACACACGAAACAGATGAATCTCTCAAACTGGGTCCCTCTCTCAGATATCGAGTTCGTCTGTCAGTTGAAGGCGCCCGATATACCCTCCCTAAGCGCCCCTCGACAGATGCACGCGCACTAAGACAACGTGCTTGAAGGATCGAATAAAGCGAAGGTGGAAATGATAAGCTGCCAGCTGATAGAAT